CTTATATACAGATGCACATTGTGCATTTGTATATGTTCTTGGAAATGGCTTTTTTTTCTCTTTATTTACATTTCACATGTCAACAGTAGGTACAGACTACTAAATCTACTAAATATGGAAACCTACACATGCTGTGAATGCAGCATACCATGATGGACCCATGCTGCATCGGCTGTAGATGTCATAGATTTGATAACAAGCCAGAATTTAAAATATTTGTTTTTCTAATGAACCAATGACAAGCCCTCAGATTACAGATGCTTACACCACACAGGATAAATTGCTCCAAACTCCCAAGTAAGTAACCTATAAACCTATACAACAACTGTGACATCATGACTCTGAGTACCAATACTGTGGTAAAAGTAAAGATTCACAGACAAACAACAATCAGCTGCCATCACATTGCTCTCCTCCTTTTGATTTGACAGACATTTCATCCTCCTTAAGGTCGATTCCCACACACACACCACCCTCTCTGATCACATGATCAGTGGACAATTTGTTTCTCACTTCATGTGCTTCAGTACTAAAAGTCAAACAGACAGTCAAACAGGGTGGAAACAGATCTGCGGTTGATAGTAGAAGCAGCGCTTATCAATGATTAACTTGCCAAAAGCCTTCACACAGCATTTTCATTTAATGGTGCTCTGAAATATTTTCATTGATGGCAGTTTTGCTCTAGAAGAAGTGTTGTTTACAGGCTATGGGCAGTGATAGATTTTAAATTTAAATGTTGTTTGCTCTGTAAAGATGAGAGTGGTTTGTCTTCTCAGTATGAAAAAGTTGTTGTGGCTTGTAACATTAAAAACGTCCCTTGTGGTTTCTAAAACCTCTGAAATGTAGGACTATCTGTAAACTGGTTGTGATCATAGGATTTAAGAATTCAGTGTAACATCCTATTTAGTATGGAAGCACACTTTCTGTCCCGATTTAGCATTCCTTCACAAGCATGAACTGCCTTTGATCTGGTCGCGCTGGCCTAGCTGGATGCGTCCAATCCTCCACGTTTCGGCAAGGTGGCCGACAAGTGGTAAGTGAATGGAGCCTGAGAGAGAGTGAGGCTCAGGCGTCACATCACATTACCTGAGGATGCATCAGCTAGGTCAAGTCATCTGTGTCTGCTGCGGGTGGATGTTCCCCAGCTGCACTAAGCAAGCACCGTCTCTCCTGGGACGAACTTAGGCGCTGACCTCACAAAAATATTATCAGATGTGGAGAACAGGTCGATGCGGGAGCAGTGTGTGAACTTGGCTCATCAGTGACACACGAGTTGGCAGAAAGGATGTGAAGGCTGCTGCTAATCCCGCTGACATCTATGGGCCCTAGCTAGCGTGATTTCCTCCCTCAAATCCCCTGCAGGAGCTTACGGGTGTGATCACACCTACACTGTATTTCCTTCAGTCTGACTGGTGGAAAAGTTTACTTTACTGCAGCTATGTGATATTTTTTTCTTGACCTATATTCCATCCATCTTCCACAAGTTCCCAGATAGTTAAGCCAGGCTATATTTGATTTGCAAATTTAACCAGCGTCTGCCTCTTGCTCCTCTATTCCTCAAGCATGATCTTTTCTTAGACGTCTGAGGAGCTACAGGAAAAGGACCACCCTCTCTTCCCACTGTTGTGAATAAATCATTCATATTTGACTTCTGAATTATTGAACATACAACATATTACTCTCAGTGAAGGTAAAAACCGACTGTAGCCAAAAGAGATACCAACTTTACAGGGAAGTGGACACGAAAGCGGCTAAGCCTTTGCTGAAAGTGCATGCTTGGATAGCAGACTGGCATTAGTTCAGACTGGCCTTGGGTATATAACTTCTTTTTTATTCCTTTTTTTTTTTTTTTGCTGTGACTGGATCAATGCTGTGGTGTGTTGTCTTCAGTTTGCAGCATTGCATCTCCACCTAAAGAGGCTGGAGGTGATGAATGGGTACTCATCCATAAGCGCAGCTTTCACAGCCTGCAGTTACTTTGACATGACCTAGGCATGATCCCAATAGCTTCCTGTTATTGTGTGAGAACGGCTACTGAACCAAGCCTCATAAGGGAAGAAATTGCTATAGTAGGTGACTTTTTCAAGCATATTGCAGGGGAAAAAGAGGTAATAGGTTGGAAATTCAGATTTGGAATTAATATAAAATTAGTCTGTTTGTTATTTAAATTAAATTTTATTAAAAAAGTTGAAAGGTAATTTCTTATATCCATGAGCTTCATAATACATATATTGGAGGTGAGTACAAAGATGATATAGTGTTTTAGGCCATTTTGGGAAATGCTGTGAATCGCTGATGTTTAGAGGCAATATTGAATTTATATATGATCTTTGCATTCATGAGACAAAGTCCTTTGATTTACTGGGTGTTTATTCTGCTAAATTATATAAAAGTAACCAAACCAAATGTATCTTTCTGCATATTCTATCCATTAACAATTTCTGCATTGATTTTCATGATATACACTGATACCGTGAAGTAAAATTACATATATCATGACTAAGAATTTCATTCATGTCACCCACCTCTAATACTAAGTTACAGATGGTATTGACTGCCCTAATCTACCGATGATTGTATATGTTAATATGGGAAGATTAATTCTGCTTCAACCCCCTTAACCAAAGTTAGAATATTATTTCCCCACACTGTTTCCTGTGACAAGAAATATGCCTTTTTACAACATGATGTGGAAATCAAAAGGTAGTTGTAGTTGTTGATTAATCTTGTGTTAAGGTGGATGGTGAACGTCAGAGATAGTCTAATCCACCGGGATGACAGCAGTCTCTCTGAGAGCATCCATGTCAGGCCTGTCAGGTCCCTGCAGGATCATAAATCCTTTTGCCTCACACACTAGGGACCTTTCCTCTAGTGCCATCCTGTCCATATAGCGTCCCCCCTGAAAATCTAAAAGAGCTCCGAGAGACGAACAGCATCCCTCTTGGCAGTAGACTTTGTCTTCAGGGAGTGTGTAACCCGACAAACACACCTGTTCAGTCCTCATTTGCAGCACTTACTCCTCTTCAGCTTCATTTTGCAAAGCATGTCCTTGGGAATCCTGGATGGCAGTGAGAGAGAGCCCTAATTACAGCTAATCATGTGTCTAATTGGCAATTCCCACCCTAATGAATTATCTCTTTGATTCCCATTGTGAATCATATGCCAAACACACTCTGCATTGTTTAATTAAAATGAGCCTGTTTTCATGGAGATTAGTGAAAACAGTTGACAGAACTGCCGTACAGCTTGTGTGCGGATGAAAAATAATCCCAAACTGACATCACCTCATTTTAAATTCTCAGTATAATCTTGTGCCCGGCAAAAGGCAGAGGGGCTCTGCGAGAGCGGTGTGGTTTGGTGGGTGTGCACACTTTGATTTCACAGTAACACATTCAATCATCCTCCACTCTATCTTTTCAGACATGCTCGCTCACAGGCGAGTCCATTTGTACTTTCCGAGTACATACTATGAGCAATTCACATCTCTAACCTCAGACAATGGCTGTGACACCTGACTGAGCTGCTTTCTCACACTTCCACTTATCCTCCACTGGATGACAAAGAGAGCTTTCACACACTGACACTGCTTATTTCTACCCAGGTCTATGTATATTCGCTCGGGTTACGGTGGAAATAATGTAATTCTATAGAAGCATGTCGCAGAATGATGTGTAGCTGGTTCCATACGGGTGGCCAGCACATGACCTCAGCGAGGAGAGTGAGGGGCCACAGATGACACACTAATCAGAATTACTGCCCATCCATCTTCAGTAATCATTGCGACCTCTGTGACCTCTAACCTTACCTCTGAAGGATTTCTTTGCCTCTACCTAACTAATCTGGTTACCTCCTATCCAACCAGCCCAAAACACAGTCACACCTCTGTCAGCGTTACCACAGCTGACCGGAGCAATCACACTGTATCGCAGCACAATATCTGTATCTCCCATTAGCTCCTCAAGCATCAACCACTGAAGTCTGTCTTGCTCAGCATGAAACATGCATGAATCTGGGTGCTACACCTGATTGACAAGGAAGGAAATAATCAGATCAATACAACATTGGGCTTTTCTTCATTAATGTCACTGAGCCAGAGCAGTGACACCAGTCACTTGACCTTTATTTCATCGTGGATTACAGTGGGAGCAGTGGATGTGTCTCATTTGTCACAAGCTATCAGGCTCAGCTCTGGCTTTATAAGCAGAGACTCCCAAGAGCTGCAAGATGCAGAGTGGATCTTGATGAATGTTGATTGGTGGGGATGAGTGCTCAAGCTCAGCTTCCCCTATTTTAAATGTAGAATTTAAAGCAACTCACTGTGGGCCCGATGGGAACTAACTTTCGTGAATCATTTTGGAACAGAGTTTTGATGCCAAACACCAGGGTGACAAACCTCATATTTAGTGAGACAGAAAAAAAAAACTGTAGTTAAATGAGCTGCTGCACTGTGTTTAAAATGAATTCCAGCAGCTTCAGATTTGATTTTATTGTTCTGGGGCCGTAATAACAGAGGGCAGGTGCGACCTATGTGCCCCTAACAGAAATGTAGGGCCATGTTAAATCATCTATCAAAGTCACAGCAGCTGTAAGGTCGGTGGGCGCTGATCCTAAATGCGTAAAGGAAACACTGCCCATGGTCCGCTCAAGCAAATTAATTAAGCATGCTATAAATTAATCACAGTCTGCTTATTAATTTTCTGGCTCAGCGGCTTTATATTCAGAGGAACAGTTGATCTGGAATAAGGCATTTAAAAGACTTCCTCTGGTGCAAAAACGCCCATTTATTCCATGCGTTTAGATTACAATTCATTACTTCATTTGACACTTTAACTGTTCCTTCCCTCAGAGTAGTTAAGTGGTTCAGAGCAGTTTATAAGAGGCCACGTATTTGTGGTCTCCGTGTCATTTTATACTGCATGAGTTATGTTGGTGCCTTTGCAAAATGAGCAGCGCTCAGTATCGGAGCAGCTCCGGTGCAGCTGCTAACTTTCGAAACTCACCTATCCACGCTGATCACGCACAGGGTCATGATGGAAGCAGTGCAGCACATAACATCCATGCCGATGAAGATGTTGCAAAACGTGTCCCCAAAAAGCCACTTGCCCCCGGTGAGGTCTGTCACTATGACAAACGGCATCACAACTATGGCCACTGATAGGTCCGCCACTGCGAGGGACACCAGCAGGTAGTTTGAAGGTTGCCTCAGTTTCTTCACCACGCACACTGCGATCACCACCAGCGTGTTCCCCATGACTGTGACCGCCGTGATGATAGCCAGCATCACCCCGATGATGATCTTCTCCGGGCGCCCGAAATCCTGCAGCTGCTCCCCGCACGACACGTTCCACATGGGTGTGGGACTAGTGGTGACGAGGGGGTTGTTGAGAAGCTGCAGAGTGCCATTGATAACTTCGGAAAGAGTGACCCCAATTCCCGAAGTATTGAACATCACGACAACGATATCCCGGCAGGAATGGAAGGGACGCCTCGCCAGTGCACTCCAATTACGCGCATATTTGGATACATGTAACCTGCTCTCGGCTCCTGTCCAGCGGTTCTAGATTGAGGCTATTGCAGCTGCACCACATCAGAGCTGCCAACAACTCAGAGGGCTTCTTGACTGGTTTCCGTTCAAGAATCATCCGTCTGCAAGAAGTGCTATATGTGTGTGGGGTCCATCTCCAGAGGGTAAAATAACTTCTGCTCCAAAACTATGAAATTAAAAAAAAAAAAGTTACAGAATCTAAATCCAGCTGCTTCCTGAAGCGCTTGTTTCTCACTGCACGACCCTGAGATAAAAAAGAACTACTGTGTTTGGAGGATTGCGCTGCGCAGACAGCATCTAACCATGTGACGCGTCACTTAAGACGCACAGACAGCCTACTGAACACATACGAGATACAGCAGCCCAGCCTATAGGAGACGGAAAACTCACCCGATTATAAATAGAATATCTCTCAAAAGCAAAACCACTTAACAAAGAGTGCATTCGCTCTTGTGCTAGAAAAAAAATATTTTCTGTTGTTATGTGGTGACTTATGTCATGATGCTTTTCTTGGACCCTCACATTTAAGGTCTGAAAACAAACCAGAAGAGAAAACCCAGCACTGGGAGACAGCGAGGACATATGGCAAAGCTTCCCAGGACTCTGGGCTGCTTGCATCATCGTCCAGGCAGGAACAGCTGTGGTGCGTTTGTGTCCTCTGGCTCTGGAGGGGCCGGTGCTGCATCCCACCCCCTACCTCCCATAGTCTGTCATACCCCACCACGCTCACATGCAAGCCACCACACAGCCATGGCCTTTTACTCACCACTACCTACTACTCAGTCTGACAGACAGGCCAGTAATGATTGTCACATCAGATTAATTCCAGTGGCCACTGGCAGTTTCTGCTAGACCTCCTGCTGTCAGGGAAATTTGGCCCATTTATGCTGGGGGTATTACAGATGTGTAGATGTCAGAGAAGATGGGTCAGGTTTCCAAAGCGTTGGAGGGAGGTTTCTGAGGAAAGCTCTAGGGGCCTATGCTAAGCAGCCTGTCAGCAATGTCTGTAGTTAGAGAGGTTAAACAGGTATGGATTACTCCTGCTCTGGGAGCAATAATGACGATGGTTAGAAAAAACCATGACAAGACAATTTTAAATTAGCTATAAATTGCTGACAGGCAATGGAGCTGTTTCATTTTTGTGGAAGCAACCACGTAGAAAGGCAAGGGCACCTGGGCCAGTGCCTTTGAGGCCCGTAATCTGTCCATGCATTCTGGTGTAATTATGGATAAGTCAATGATGCTTTCAGGTGTCAAGTATGTACGGTTTTAACTCTGGAGCATCACTCATTTAATTTACTGACAGTCAAACGTGGATGTTTCCAGGTAAAAAAATGTAAAGCATGCTTTGACCACCTCTTGCTGCCCAAATCTCAAGTGGCTGGTTTGGATGTCACGTTACTGAGACTCTGTCCAGTAAAGAAGCCCCATGTGAGTGCATCTGATTTCCACTCACAAGCCCTGGATCCCTCCTAACTGGGTAGTAAGAATCTTAATGAAACCAAAACATCAAGTAAACATGTCTTTTCACAGGAATGATGCAAGCTGCCGTCAAGTTTTCCATTTACATCTGTAATTACACTAACAGGTGGATTATTTTCTGATGTTTAAATGTCAAAACACATTGCCAAAAGCATCCCTACAGGGCTAACCCAGACATGCTGCATGAGACGTGACAGGTTAGGCTACTGACTATGCCGCCTTAGAGCCCATCTGTGCTTTTGACATATACTGACATAATGCTATCAGTCAGCTGAAGTCAGATGTTTGTTCTTTAGATGTAGATTACAGCTGAAGGCAGACAGGTGGAGATTGTCCCTCTTCAGAGGCCAAGGGGGAGATAAACATTGTTTATCTTGTTTTCTTGGCAGTAAATTGAGGATTTGCAAACGTGACCTTATTAAAGTGACATAATCAGGCACAGAGCAGGAGCTGGGCAATGAACAGGTAATTGCATCATGACAACAAAATGTAAGTGAGGAGCAGAACAGAAAAACACATTTGTTTCAGAAGCACCAGATGACCAATGAACAACACACACAGTATTTGTATGTGATTAAGTGGGATGATCACTTCCAAATGGCAAACAAACAATATCATAAAACCCATAGATGTTTTCGTGAGAGTGTGAATCTAGCTTTATTCATACCACAGAAGCCATGCTGTCACTCCTGTTGTCTTTACCTCAATGACACTTATATTCATGCATATTTATCTGCCTTTCTTTACTCCGTTGAATTTCATTATCAAACTATAATAAATTGGATAAGGTGAACTTAATAAGGTAAACAATTATTTGGTTTTGTTATAAACCTTTGTGATTAGGTTACACTTAAAAATCAAGCTCTACACCAGTGTCGCTGTATCAGTGTTGTTTTGAACCTAAATGAAAAATTTAATCTTTAATAGTAAATACTAAATATAATATAAGTTAGCTAAAAGCTTGTGGTGTGATTATTTTTTATTTCAGAAAAGATCATTCTTGGTTGTGACTTAAAAAGTAAGAATTAGTCCTTTTTTATGCACATATTGAAGTACAACAGAGAAAAAGGTCATGTCATTTTTAAAGACAAAACGTTAGTTAATACATATTTATGTGGACAAACAGGCCAATATCAGGCTAAAATAATGCTGTTTATTGCATCCTGTGATTGCAGTCACATAATGTGAGGTAGGTGTGTTGGGAACTCTTCCAGTGTGGACAGGGGCAATAGATTCATGAACAATGGTCTAATTTTATATGTTCCTGCATTTTCCTGGTGTTCAGCATTGTGCTCCACAAGGTTTCACCGTTTCCACGCTTTGACCATTGTTAAACAGAGATATACTACCAGTGACCACAAGTGATGTTGGTGAGACTTTGATACTAATCCTTATTGAATTGATTTGAAAAATAACATGAGGTGCCCAAAGCAAAAAAATTTAAAAATTACAAAATGCACATGAGAAAGAAGCAGAAAGAACACTTTGTCTATTTAAATTATCTAAAACTTTGTTCATCTGAGAAGTTGAGTTGTCTGAGTGAGCAGCTGAAACTGACTCATATTCCTAATGTGCAGCATTCTCACACCTGCAAACCACCACATCTCTGCTGCTGGTCACTGAGACAGTTTGAGTGAACACGCCTTGCTCAACAGTACAATACTTACTCTACTCAGATCATTCCAGCTGCAGGGGGTTTAAATACAAAGTCACAAACTCCTCTGACTTGAGAAGTTTATTCTCAACAGGTAAACAGTTTCTAATTGCTGATTACCCCCCAGTGAATCAGGAACCAGACTTGATCTATTTAGAATAACATCAAACCCTCCCACTGACAAGATATGAGCACATAGTTTTACATAAAAGTTTTCATGAGGTGTTTTCCAAGTCACGTGTGTACAGAGTCAATATACAACATGCAAAAATGTTCCTATATACCAGACTGATGTTGGCAGTGTTTACATTTATTATGGTCAATTTGATTCCCATATCTGTTGCAGTTAACTCAATATATCAATAGATGGCATTGCATCCCTTTAAACTAAAATCATTTACAAGCCTCATCAGGTTCCCTTTTAGTTTTTGCTATTTATGTGGTGTGGTCCCCCAGGAATCTGTAAAAAAAAAAAACACAGAAAAGATATTTTCATCAATGGAAAAATTAACTATCAAACTGTTAATACGTGTGAATTCTTAAAAGGGGACTCCAGGAGAGTTCATTTGACAGCAGTGAAACACACTGTCCCATCTGGTCACTCCCCAAAAAACTGTAGCTAATGTAAAAGAACCAGAGGAATGGTTCCTTTCAGAAACAGTGATTACTTTTTCCCTGCAGAGACCACGTAGGAGCACAAAGCCATCACCTCAATAACACTGGGAGCATGTTGGTGATTATTTCAAATGTCTAAGACTAATTGCCAATATGCCTGACTGCTGACCTGAAAACCAAAGTTCTGCAGACTCATAGACCACAGCCATGACTCTTTTTTTTTTTTTTCATATAACAAAGAGACCTGAAGCTCATTTCAGCAGCTGAGGCCTTTAGTCCATGTTTGAACATCTTTTCATTATTATTATCTTTTTGGATCCAAATAAATGTTCATAGTTGTGGCATGAGACAGTTAGTGAAAGCAGCAGTGATACACAATGCAAATACAGAATTTGGTTAATTTCCCAAAAGACTAAAAACTTTCATCCAAGTTTATATTAATCACACAGTAGATTTTCTGGCATTGTCTCAAGTATTTTGAATATAAACATGGTTCATGATTTCTTCTGTGTAGGTCATAGTTTCTACCAATCAGATGGCCCATGTAAATGGGTTTTATTCTGTTTATATATGGAACAGGGACATAATTGGCTGAATGTGTGATGATTTGTGAATAATTTAGCAGATTATTGAGCTGTCAAACATATTATTCACCACCACTAAACTGCTAATAAAAATACATATTATATCCAGGTGACTTTAGTGGGCTAGGGTTACCAAATAATGGGGAATCCTGTGGGAAGATTTTAATGATAGAAAATCTATCTAATGAATATTTTTGTTGTCTTGTTTTGCTCTTTTAGTTTGCTGCTGTTGCTCAGGTGTTGTATCTGGGGGATACGGGTGGTTACCAGCAGAGGGCGACAAAACTGTTCCCCAGTATCATGTAAATTAACAATAAATGATTGACAGGTGCAGTAAACCAATGCCTTTCTGCTCAACTTGACAGATTATCCAATAAGGGTATCGGAGGGCAAATACCACCTGTCAACCCCTGGAGGATCAATTTAGTGCAGAGTGCGTCGACTTCTAGCTCCAGGTGAAAGGCATATCCACCGATTATATGTGAGTTTGTATGTCGTAGCTTTATTAACCAACATTGTATTCTTGTTTGCTGAAAACTTGCTGTGTTATTGGATGTATTTCGGTTGTTTTTAATTCCTCGCTCGAGGTTGTCACCTTCAGCTGCGTCTTTTTCTTTGACACGTGTTTCAATTAGCTAGCTAACTAACTAGCTAGTTAATTTTAGCTAACAGCCGAGCCACACTAAGAGCCCGGTAGGAAAGTATTTTGTCCAAAAATAATTGCGAAGTACTAACATATCGTAATGTTAAGTATTAGTCAATTAGGTTAACTTGGTAATGAATTGATATATTGCACGAGTAAGGTTTTTGTGAAGTTTTAGTAGTACTTTGATGAGATCAGGGCAGATTGGTGAAGTAAGGCGCCTCATGTCGAGTTAACCAATTAACATTAGTAGCTAACGTTAGCAACATTTGAAGTAGACAAGCCAATAGTATCAGGGTGAACACTGTTTTTGTTTTCCCTCCATGGTTAACAGCAGATATATAGAGTCCTTACATATCAATAAATGAGTATTAGGATGAATCGTGAGTTTTGTAAAAGTGTTAAATAATTTTGGTAAATTCAGTATTTTAAGTGACCGCAATTTTAACTGCACCAAACTGAAGAAAACATAGTAAAAAGCATTTTGTTGCTTTATTAATGTAATAATTACATACCAGAGCTGTCCCATGCTTTAGGACCATTCCATGCCAACTCACCTGGGACCTTCCAGATCATAACATGGATTTTCTCTCAAAAAAAAAAATTATAATAAAAAGATAACGCCTAAAAACTTCTGCTACAGCTCTACTTCAAATACCTAGTTATTATTTTTGAAGTTTGGGCCCCCAGAGCTAAATTGAACAATTTTTTTGCAATTCATGTATGTACATTCAAAGCCTCATCAATTTCTATTTAGGTTGAGATTTGTAATTTGTACTGAACATCCATGAAACTCAAAAGCTAATTTGCAATGTCTTTTCATGTAAATAGTTGTTGCTGAATGTTTTACAGTATCACTTTAATGAAACAAAAATTTTACTTGCATGAGGAGTCTTTTTTCAACAATAGATATGTACATTAGTTTTCACTTTTTTGCAATCAATTGTCTTTATGTAGTATTTTTACGTGTATGGGTCTACCACATTTAGAGATGATTTAGTCCTGCAGGTATGGAGAATCTGATTATTAGTTTTGTGTTGTCTGCACAGTGTGCTTAATGAAAACTTACTGATGGTGAATGAGCTGACATGATAGTGTTATTGAAGCTCTGTCAGGTAAGTTAGAGCTTGACTAGGACAATCAGATTTCATCCCAGTACTGAGGGAACCACATGTGTTCTGTGTGGTCTTGTAACTGTTAATTTTAAACTATTATCCATGCTATCTGACATAGTGACCTAACCATGCACCATTTCTTTGGTAGTATAATGGTAGGAGATGTACTGGTAACTTTTATCCTATGTGTTGTTCCCTGCAGTTAATCCATTGTTGTGTTAACTGGTGGTATCAGAAGTTGACTGAATGGATCCAAACAAGCTTCCTGACCTCAGTGGTATGACGGGCGTCCCCTGGCTGGGACGCGGAAGAGGACTACAGCCTGAGGAGCTGGCTGTTGGACGTAGTAGAGGGCTGCTGCTCTCTATAGAAGGGTCTGCTGTAGGACGAGCCAGAGGTTTCCCCACTCCTGGCGATACCCCACAAGGACGAGGAGTGATTGTGCCCATTACTGAACCTGTGCTTGGACGAGCTAGAGGACTGCTGGTGCAGTCTGATGATGGAGGAGTTGGAGGAGCCAGAGGACTGCTCTTCCCAGCAGGTGAACCGAAGGTAGGGGTGGCGAGAGGTGCTATCCTGCCTAGTCTGGAGCCACAGCACAGACAGACACCTCCATGTGAAGACACAACGCAAGACCCAACAGAAGAGACCCTGGCTTTGACAACAAAAGAGGTTGGAGCCAGAGACCTGTCTATGACTTTCTAAATATTATTGGCCCACTTTAAGAACTGCTAAGATTTTTGGTTTTTGTTTGTTTACAGGTTGATATGCCAACCCAAGGGCAAGGGTCAACACTGGTCTCCATGTTCAGAGGAATGGGCATTGAGCCCACTTCATGGGGAAGAGGAACACTACTAGTGGGTCTGTATTTAAACCTTTGTTGTTGTTTGTTTTTTTTCTTCTTTATTTCTTGTTTTGTTTTTTTTAAGAGTGAAAAAATTAAACAGCCTTGGTACCAGTTATAAGTTTGACATTTATTGTCAGCTACTGTACATTAACAATGTGTAATTATAATGACTTCCTGATAGTTATGCACGTAACATTTTGCATGCTGTTCTGACAGTGTAAACAAAACAGCTTTATAGCTACAATTGTCAGATGTGTGCAGGTGTATCATCAATGGATAATTTCTTCCATATCTTATGATTCATTTTGAGAATTATGGAGTAATCCTTAGTTCCTCACTAATGCATTAACTTATTTAGACAGGGAGGAGTTTTAGTTACTACACATAAAGTTTTGGCACTAAGAAAAAGTATGGTGTGAATGAGACTTCATACACAGAAAACATGCATTATTATTATTATTATTATTATTATTGTTATATTTGATTTTAAAAAAACATGATACATTGTGTCAGCCGTATGTAATATTTTCCTCTATTCATTAAACAATATTTATTAACAGAGAGAATATAAAGTTCAGTACCCTGGTGGATAGGTTAAGAAAATTAAATAAAATTTTAATGATAATAAAACTGTTCCTTCAGTACAGGAAAGCCCCAGTTGAGTTGATCATGCCAGGTTATGAGGACGGTAGAAAACCTCAGTGTGTCGACCCAGTCAGATTAACCGCTAAAGCTGGTATAACTAGTGTCGCTGTGTATGTGCAGAAGAACCTTGAGGATTGAAGTGTGAAGTTTTATTTCAGAGAGAGGAGCAGCTGGAGATATGGGAACCATAAAGCTGCAAGGTGCCTCCGAAGGTGTCACCAGCAGCCCGGAGAGTGTCGGCCAACCTGAAAAGATGATTGGCAGGTAGGAGACAGATCTGTTGTCTATCTGTTGTCTAACAGTGTTTCTTAGACGGCCTTACTCCTTCGCTTTATTAAAGACAAAGGTAGACTAAATATTTGGGAAAAAACACTCAGCATAACGCAATATAGTTAAACAGTACACTCACTACAGCCTTCATGATGGCCATATTAAGTTGTATTTGGGGTACTTTTGTTTCTGTGGAAGTGTGAGAGCAGCTTTTGACTCCTCATGTGGACAGATTTCCATAATGGTCAGTTTAGAGTTTCCTATAGTAAACAGTTTCTCAAACTTCTATTTGTAGGTTCTTGTTGGTCAAAGCAATATTTGCCAGAAAGTTAATAAAGCATGATCTGTCATTAAAGACATGTGGCCAGTTCAAATACTCTTAATTATTGCAACCATTTATCAATATTGGAAAAAAATATATACAAACCTGGCTACTGTGGAATTTGACCTCTTACAGTTTCTATGGCAGACGTTTGTCCCCGCAGACGATGGTGGGGCTTGGAAGAGCAGCAATGCCACAGTTTGGAGTAGGAAGAGGACGCCCATCACTTCCTTCTATTCCTCCTGGTCATGTTGAGTCAGTTTCTCCTGCTGCTGAACCACAACCAGCCCCATACTCTCAGCCTTCCCATGCAGGTAGGGGAACTTGTAATTAAATGAAATGAATGAATTAAAGGATTCTGACATTTCATGAAACACTGCACAAGAGAAATTGTTTCCTTCAGGTGGGTTAAAGTGGCTGTTTAGGCTTCATTTAAAAGAACTTCTTTGTAAACACAATCTATAATATGTCTAATGAAATGCATGCATGTGAAGCAGCCATACCCCCTGTGCCCACCACTCAAGATGTCCTGGAGGTTTCAAATAATGCACCAGCAAAGAGAGAGCTGAAAATGGAGGGAGTCCAGTAAGTATACTGTTTCTCCTTAGCATTTACCTCCTGACACACTAAGCTGTGTCCTGCACCATTGGCTCTTGTTGAGCTTTAGTGGAGGCCATTCAATGAGAGAGCTACTGATTTTAGCAAATCGGTAGCTTGATTTGCATATTGTGAGTTCTATGCAATATCCTCATTGACCTAGTCTTCCATACCAAGGACTGAGGGTGCTAGTGCAAAAAGCAAATTGTTTGATTCTCAATGTATTGTGAGCATATGTTGTGAACATTTATTGATTTAAAATTTTTAATAAGATATTTCCTCTATTATGTGTGTGTACAGTATGTGTAGGTCAGCTGTTAGCAGGCCAAATGCCATACCACTTCGTGCCACGATAGGGCCGCAGTGCACTTCAACTGTGATTTTCCAACTTGTTACATTAATGTTTTTAACATGTTTTAATGGTCATTCAGTGTGTCCCATTAATTACCCAGATGGCGGTCCACTTCAATCTGATTTGTCCCGCCGTCATTATAATATGTCTGACGTTGTGTTTTTTGCTGTAGCTTCACTGTAGAGTTGCTCTGTCCCCGGGATACTGAATTACCACCCAACCACCCAGGGTGGTGTGTAGAAATTTAAGGCCGTACAATGCATTTGATCAGTCAGCCCTTATCAGTGCTAGAGGTCAGCATGCTGTGTTGGGGACACTTGAGATCTAAAGAAATACACAAGTCGTGTAAGGTAATTGACTGTTTTGCTGAAATTGTCTCTTTGTGCTTTTACATTCTCCTCTGGTCAGTGAGCCACTTAACAAGGCTGGAACAAAAGGAGTTCCTATAACTATTGGCTCAAACCACATCTCAATTCGCTGCAAGAATGAAGCTGTTTATCAGTACCATGTGACATTCACGTAAGTATCATTTATCATTTATTTGTTTCCTCTATTAAGCAAAAATTACTGGTAGAAATCAAATTTAAAAAAATTTAAAAAAAAGAATGTTTTAGTCACTTTTTTACTGTCTCAGAAGAATGTGTTCTATTGTTGATAGTGAATTTAATTTTGAAACGTAATGTGAACCAAACAGGAATTACACTGAAGTATTATTGTTAATGAAGTCCCCGAGGAGACATAAGTGCAACAAGGTTATTCCAAAATAGCCATTGTTGAATCCATATTGTCAGTCAACACTGATAATTAGCACTGACAAGTACTGTATGTATTCTCAGAAGTCGTGTGTATTTCTAATCATCTTTTTCAGTCCAAATGTTGAATCAATGGCAATGCGTTTCGGCATGATGAAAGATCACCGCTCAACTACCGGAGATGTGGTGGCGTTTGACGGCTCCATACTCTACCTGCCTGTTAAGATGAATGACGTGGGTATCACAGTGTTTATTTTTATGGCTGATTGACTAAGGTGTGTTAACTGTAGATGTGTAAATTTTGAGTTGATGTAAATTATTGTGTATGTAGATGACGGATTTCTTACAGAAAGGGAGTTGTTTGACAGTATAGATGTATTTTAGTTTTCATTGTGCAGAACAGTGTAATGTAAAATCTCCCATAATGCTGTACCCAACACCAGATGCTCTTTTTGGTTTGACATGCAGGTGGTTGTTCTCAAGAGTTTGAGACGGACCGATAATGAGGAAATACAAATCAAAATCCAGATGACAAAGATTTTGCCACCAAACTCGGATCTATGCATCCCATTCTACAACGTAGTCCTCAGGAGGTATATTTTAAAAAGATTTTAAAAAACTCCTTCAGGGTTTTTGGATTGACCACTTTAAGTTTTAATAAACTGCCATATTGAAGTACACCTGCAGCAATATGCTCATACATGGTGTTTAATGAAACCAGTAAATAATGGCCATAATCTAAAACTTAACCTTCAACAGTCAAACTTCAAACATCAACAAAATGTGTAATTTGCCCAGAGGTGCCCAAAAATCTTCCTGGTCTTTTTCACACAAAGCCAGACTGCTTAAGAAAATTAAACACTTCTGCTTGTAATCATAAAAGCCCTTTAATGACATAATCTGAGCAGCCATACTTATTTTATTCATGATGTTTACTATTTGGATAATCAGATGACATGACCCAGTGTTGTTCTTGTTTTCCAAGGGTAATGAAAATCATCGGATTGAAGTCGGTGGGGCGAAACCATTACGATCCAGAAAGTGCAGTCGTTCTTGGAAAACATCGGTTAGTGCAGAGTTGTATTTTAAAATCATAAGTCAGACACCAGCTAATATCATGACGTCTCTGCTCCATTTATTATCCCATTCGTCTGTTTGCTTTAGGCTTCAAGTGTGGCCAGGCTATTCGACCTGCATTAAGCGGACAGACGGAGGCCTGTACCTGTGTGTGGATGTGTCTCACAAAGTCTTGCGGAACGACTCTGTGCTGGATGTCATGTGAGTTCACACAGCAAATCATTCATTATAAAATATTTGTTACATCCATTGCACTTGAATTTAGTAAAACCATTACATACTCAGTACTCGTGGAAGGAATCGCACCTTGTCTTTTAATTGCAGGTAATCTCTTTTATCTTTGTTCATACTTCTTGATTTTGTGGCACGGCCCAATTGTGCTCCAAAAGTTCTTCCCAGCTCGCTGTTAATATTTTGAAGCTGCACAACTTAAAGTCACTTAACACCGTTGTAGACAGGTGTCACACTGTGTTCAGGCACACACTGATTACATAACTTGCCCACTGTCTTTTTTCATCTTTTCAATAGACTTAAAAACCATTTGTTACATTTTTTGTGTGTCAGTGCTAGTGCCCACGTTCATCAAATTTAAAAATCTAATTTGTAGAAGACTAGTTATTGATACTGACCTGAAAGTGTCTGCTCCGTGCAGCAGCAGAGTAGCAGGGTGATATCAAGTGACCAGGAGAGTTGACCGACGAGACAGAAGCGGAGGATTTGGTGTCAAAGTGAAAGCTAAAGCACCTATTCTGCCATGTTTTGGATTTAACCCCAACACAAAAGAAAACCTGATAACATTGAGGAAATCTGAAAACTTTGTCTTATGAAGGATGCAGTATGTGGAGGTAACACTTGTAATCTACAGATGTTGAGCCGATGCGTCATTTCTTGTAAAATGTCCAATGTAATTGGTAGGAAAATTTGCACACCGTGCTGTCCCTATTTAACAACAGTAACAGTGAGCTGGGAGTAAGTCTGCTGATTTTGGGGGTTCCTATAGTAAAATGAAGAATGCATCTCTTCTGTGTGTCGTTTGTGTACTCAGACATGCTCATTCAAGTTTAAACGTTGACTACCATGACCAAGACACACACAGCTATATAAATGTCCAGTTCTGTCATATATTCATACATATTTAAATACCATGTTGCAAGATTTGACGTGTTTTGTCCTCTGAGACAGAACTGAAACGTTAACCACTTTAGCCTTACCCTCTGGGAATGTGGTTTGATGAAAAGGTGAGTTGGAGGGCAGCAACTTAACAGACTGCAACAGGCTCATCATGTCTATAGATTATTTATAAACTGAAATGATCTTGCCCTTGCTTTGCCCTTTCACTTGAAACAGAAAATGCTAAAACGAGACACACAGCCTGTCAGTTTAAACAGAAAAGGCGAAAACCATGACCTTTTGACCCTTGCTGTCTTCCAGGAACATGTTGTACCAGCAGAGCAAGGAGAACTTCCAAGACGAATGCACCAAAGAACTGATTGGCAGCATCGTCATCACCCGCTACAACAACCGCACCTACCGCATTGATGCCATAGAGTGGAACAAGTCACCCAAAGACAACTTCCCTTTGATGGATGGCACAAAAACCACCTTTTTGGAATACTACAGGTGAGACTGCTCTTTCCATGAAGCCTTCATAACTGAGCAAGAAAGTACAGGATAGCGGTGTTTTGTGTTCTTATGCTTTGAAATGGTGACAGCCTTTTTATTTTAGAGCAGCAGTGAAAGTCTTCATTGCATCTGGCTGTTTTTCTAATTAATTCTTAAAACACATTCTTTTGTCACAATTGTCATTGCATTGCATGGGCTTCCACATTCACAGCAAGAACTATGGAATTACAATCAAAGAGATGGACCAACCTCTGCTCATGCATCGGCCGAAGGAGAGGGCCAAGCCGGGAGGGAAGGTTAAACCTCACTTCAGTTGTTTCAGTTATTGTAATGTAAGAAATGCTCTAGACACAGTCAGGTGTCTTTTTTTTTTTTTTTATTTCCTTTTAATGATAACTACGAAATGGACCACTCAGCTGACCTGAATTCTTGCATCAGAACGCCATCTTGTGGCTTCAATTGGTTTTGCAACCTGCTTGATTTTCAGAGTATGTCAGGCTTTGTAAATGCACTAAAACACAATTGCTCATGACAAGCTGACCCATATTTTCCCGTGTGAGAGGCACTCTTACTTGCATCAGTAATACTTGTTCCAAATATAAATGAAAACTGTAGATTGGTCATTAGTCCACCAGAAGCATAATGATAGAAAGAGGAAACTAGATTAAAATACTACAAAAGACTTAGATAATTTTATAATATTGATTTTATTGCAGCAAATCATTACTGGAGAGATCCTTTTAGTGCCAGAGCTTTCCTTCATGACGGGAATCCCAGAGAAAATGAGGAAGGACTTCAAGGCCATGAAGGTAAATTCAATTTAAATGTTCTTGTCCTGTTCTGGTCTGAGACTTTGCAACTTTAGACAGGTAGCAATTTCACAAGTTCATGAAGCACACTGTCATTGCACACAGGCACACAGAGAGGACCAGTAAAGTGACAAACAGTAAAGACTTTTTTGGGATTTTTTTTTTTTTTTTTACGCTCCAAACAGTAAATGTGCTCAGGGTTTTTGTTCCATGAAGTGAATTGAATATAGGTTTTTATTGTAAAACTAAATTCTCCTGGGTCGACGCAACACAAACGTCATCATACAGATGCATTTTGGAAAATGTAGTACTATTAAAAACAGCACCTAATAAGTTATTATTTAATACCTATTATTTAATTATATACTCTGGGATGTTGCGCCTGCGTTTTCACCAGCACAGACCGGTCACTCATCAACCAGTTGCTGTGGTTCCTGCAAGCAAGCTCACCCATGAGAAATGACGTCAACCTCAGCAACAGAGTCTTACTCTTAGCTTCCTCTTTCTCGCTTTTCTTTAGGAAAGGGGGGGGGGGTTGTGGCGAGCGCGCTTTGGCCTGCTGTGACCCGGGTTGTGTGACCACAGCAGATTAAGCCGAGTTATGCGCATGCTGTGACGCAGATCAGGCAACGATGCAAATTGGACAGTAAGTGGTTTGCGTCAACCACGGCACTACGGAGGAGTCAACTGAAAACTTAAGAGTCTGCTTGAAAAGAGATGGCAGCAAAGCAACTTTGGCTGCAAAGTGTCTGGTAGTGCTCAGGAAAGCAAGAAACAGACGGCTGAAAAGGAGAAGAGGGCAAGGCTGAAACATGCTGCAAAACAGCGAAAGTGGGCCCTTGAAACTCTGGTCTAGGCAAAGAAGAAAAAGTTCTCCTCACCAGTCCTAAATAAAGCATAATATACTCTCATATTCACATTTGTAATTTTCTTTTGCTCAAAGCACCAAAAAAATACATTTGAAAAACTCAACAGCAATGTCTCTTTCCAGAAATAATGACCCGGTCACTCAAGATAATCCACAAACCTTTATTGTGAGCAGTTTCATGTAGGAAAAGATATCATTGTAAAAGATAAACATCTGAAAATATATGAATAAAACTTGGTAATAAAGGAACTTGCTAAAACCCTTACTGCACACACTGAGAATATTTTTTTCATACATTGTAGGACCTGAACATGCACATCAATGTGAGCGGTGAGCAGCACACACACTCAATAAAGCAACTTCTGAAGAGCATCAGCACCAACCCAGAGAGTATGAAGGAGCTCAGCCGATGGGGACTGGAGATCGGCTCAGAAATACTCATGGTAAGAATATGTATCACTTCAAGGTTTTGTCTCTTTTTTCTCCACAAGTGTGACATGATAGATGCAATATTTGATCATTATCACACCCCTTACTTTTAGTCTGACATTAAAAACAAACAAATTCTGTCTGAATTCACTGTATTGTCAGTCTACAAGTATTAGTTTTTTGAGTTAGTCACTGTGTAAATCATATTTCTTTAAAAGCAGTGGTTACTGGTCTGGGAGCCAGAGCCCATTCAGACATTGAACTGGAGACTGACTGAAATTATTACCTGAGAAATAAGATTTAAAACCATCAACCATGTTGGCATCTGTTGAATATTTAAATGACAGGTGCTCAGTGGTTAAACAGGGAGGTAGGAAGACACTAGAATCTATTGATGATATTTGCTCTTTTTTGTTCTGCCATTACTTTTTGCATTTCATGTGTTCCTTAGCCATTTGTGATCTTCTTAGCAGTTTTAAATTTTGTTAGTATTATGTTTGTATTTGTTTCCTGTGTTGCAGATTAAAGGTCGAATTCTGCCCCTTGAAACCATCTGCTTGCAGTCTTCATCCTTTGCCACTAGTGCTGAAGTGTCCTGGTCCAGAGAGCTTGTCAGGGATGCTTCAATCAGTTCTGTGAGTGAGAGAGAGAAATCTCTGGTGCTACCTCGTCATTTTTGATGAATATAATTTAGCCGTAATGCAAAATATCAAACTTTTTAACTGAAAAGTTGAGGAAGTGAGGTACCAACAATGTCCAGCCTGTGACATTTTTATCACAGTTGATAGCTGGTTTAATGTTGGCTTAATTCCCAGATTCTGTCTGCAGTGATGGTGGCCACAGTTGCTATCTGCCCTACTCAAGCATCAGTGTTTAGCTACATGAATTATTTTGCCTTTGCCTCAGTAATGGCTGATGTATTAAGTTTATTTCTTCACCAACTGACTCATCTTACTCTTAGATCCCCTTGAACATCTGGGCCGTCTTCTACCCTCGGCGCTGTGCTGAGCAGGCTGAGGAGCTCGTTTCCACCTTTAAAAAGGTGGCCGGGCCTATTGGGGTGCGACTGGAACGACCCATTCGTGTGGAGCTGAGGGACGATCGCACAGAGACTTACGTCAAGAGCATCCACACACAGCTCACCAGTGAAGTATGACCGTAAAATATAGAATGTAATAGTATTTAAAGATAAGGATTCACTTCCTGTACTGTTTCCCTCCACGCTCTCTCGTCTGAGGTTCCCCGATGGTGGAACAAGCTACCAAATGCAATCAGAGCAGGGGCCTCTCTATCGTCAAGAATCTCTTGACTCATCTCTTAAGAAAGCACCTCCTCTCCTAACACCTCGAGCAACTTAACATGCCTAACAAGCACTTTCTGTGCACTTCTTTACCTAATCTCCTTGCACTTGTAGAATAGATGTAGTACTTATACCAAGGTCTCCTACTGCACTGAAGCTTTGTCACTCACTTGTAAGTCCCTTTGGTTAAAACCATCTGCCATATGAGTAAATGTGATGAGTAACTGAAAAGTCCTGTCATGTTGGTGCTTTCCTGTGTAAGGGAGACATGGTAAGTTTAAAATGCAGCTCCAAGAAGTGTTGATGGAGTCAAAGAGCAGTACATATGAGCCCCTGTTGGCATTTTGACATAATGTCTTAAAATGTGATTAAAAGAGGAATAATGGCTAAATGCTAGTTTGCATTAGATAGGAAAACACCTAACATCACAATATTTGTCCTGCAGTAATTGTATATAAATTGATTGATTGATTGATTAATGATTAAATACTCTCCTCCCTGAATTCACAAACAACAAACCCTTGCAACTAAATAGCAGTTGCTGGCATCTAGACATTTGGCTCTGCCTCTATTTTTAACTGTGTAGTAGTGGTTGCTGCAGAAACAAGACCACAAAATGACTGTCGTCCCTGTTAGTTGCCCTCAGCAACCTCGGCAACTGTGAAGCCCTGAATAGTTTTGCATGTTTGAGCCCATTTAGTACAAACTGCATTGACATGACTGCTAATTCAGAGCGGTTTTTCAGGTGGATCCCTGGAAAACCACGTAAAATACAAAATGAAAAAAGTCCCTCTTGCAATATCTGTCTTTGTCAGTAATATTGAATCCTGTGATGAAATTTAAACAGCTGCACAAGTTTTTTGACCATGTAGAAATGTTGACACTGTCTGGTACCACCAAAGCAAGCCTACAGTGCAGTTACATCCATCCCCTGCAAGTTTTCTATTTCTCATCTGTTTGCAGCCCAACATGCAGCTTGTTGTGTGCATCATGGTCGGCAACAGAGATGATCTCTACAGTGCCATCAAGAAGCTCTGCTGTGTTAAAAGTCCCATCCCGTCTCAGGTTTGTAGTGTTTGTCCAAGTGTTTTAGAGATAGAGAAAAATGGTGTATAGTTTGGAACTGTTGAAAATGATTTCTAAATTGGAAATATTTTCTACTTTGAAAAAGTTTTCTTTACTTGTCATCAGGCCATCAATGTCCGGACAATTTCCCAGCAACAGAAGTTGAAGAGTGTTGCCCAAAAGATACTCCTGCAGATGAACAGCAAGTTAGGTGGAGAGCTGTGGACTGTCAGTGTCCCTCTGGTGAGTATCGTGTCTTACAAGAGCAGGAAGGCTCTCATCTCATCTACTGAGACCAACAGTTAGAGGGAAATGTCTCGTGGATACTGTTCATTATACTACCTGTGAAAACAATGCACCATATTCGAAGGAAAAATTGACACTGGAATTCAGATGTTGTGATTCACGTGAAAGTCAGAGGTCGTAACATCACTGCAGCCGATGGGGGGAAATAATGAAACTCTGTCGTACATGAATAGAAACATTTGATGGTGGTTGGCGTTGATGTCCACCATGACACCAGCAAGGCTCATCAGTCAGTCATGGGCTTTGTCGCAAGTGTGAACAGGTGAATCTTTCCTCTTTCTTTCCCTGTTTTTGACCTTGTTGAGATTGAATATTTTCCTAGCCATCTTTGTAAAGAACCGGTGGTGGTAATATCTTGACAGAAAGGCATTTGATGTTTTCTTCTCCAGCTCACTGACCCGCTGGTACTCCAGAGTAACTTTCCAGACCCCCAATGAGGAACTGATCAATGGCTTCAGAGTTTGCTTACTGGCTGCACTGCAGAAGTACTACGAGGTAAATACTACCAACATGCACACCTAATTATTTTGGCCAATGATAACAGATGACTTCCCTTCACTGTCTTCTCTGTTCCTCTCAGCTGAGTCAGTGCCTTAATAAAAAAATGTCCTCGCAATCTGTGTCTGGATATGTCCATCTGTACAGGTGAACCACAACTTGCCAGAGAAGATTGTGGTGTATCGGGATGGCGTGTCAGACGGCCAGCTGAAGATGGTGGAGCAGTACGAGATCCCGCAGCTGATCAAATGCTTTGAGACTTTCCCCAGCTATGAGCCCAAACTGGTCTTCATTGTGGTCCAAAAGCGCATCAGCACCACCCTCTACTCCTGGGCTTCAAACAACTTTGGTACTCCTCCAGCTGGGACTGTCCTGGATCACACCCTCACTCAGAAAGACTGGTCAGTATTAGACTGTCCAATGAACGAATTGTCAGTACATCAGTTTTCTTCCAACATGAAGGTGTATCAGATCCAAAGATCCTTCACAGCTCTTTGTGTTTGAGTTAGCATTTCAAACTATGGAATACAATCACGGCATGGCACATTGAAGGCTGACGTAAATTGTTCTTCGGTAAAAGGTGAAAGGTTTGTTTTTACTATATTCTCTGCAGCAAAACTCCCAATGTGCAAAAGCATGGGTTTCTGTTAAAATCAATGAGAAGGCTGAGTTTCTTGATACAGTGTTTTAAGTCTGAATCCAGCCTTACGCCCCAGATGGTCAGCTCTCTGCTTTAATTAGATTTTACACAAGCAGTTTAGTTGAAAAGAAAAATTTGTTCCGGTGTGGACCAAGAACTCACAAGTACACCACAACAGTGGCCTGAGGTGGTTCCAGTGTAACTGTGGTACCGTTTGTGTTCAGACTTAATGAAAATACCGTCATTGTCACGTGAAAATGGGAGAGATGAATACAGTCATTGTTCTGTTAGCACCCCAACATCACTGGGTGGTGGAAGAGAGGTTCTGGTTTTTACCTTTTTTCACCTGTGTACATCAAAATAGCTGCAGCCCCATCTCCTGGCAACAGCAGTAAATATATGCACTTTGATAAGGAGACCGTCAAAGACTCAGTGTATCTGATGTTCTCTACTTAACGTCTCTAACCTAACCTCTAAACTCTAACCTTTTTTTTTCTTTCATTCAGGGTGGACTTCTATCTGATGGCACATCAGATTCGCCAGGGCTGTGGACTTCCCACACACTACATCTCTTTGTACAACACAGCGAACCTCACACCAGACCATTTGCAAAGGTACTGATAACCCATTTTCTTTTATCATTCTCACTGGTGCTGGTATATATTCATAGCATGTTGCTAATTCAGTATATGCTATCTGAATGAATGAGTGGGTAAGTAATTATTTAATTAACCAGCTGGTAAATATTTTTCAGAAAGAGTATATATTTCACTAGGACCATGACCAAATCAACATCATTGAAGAAAGGAATTGGCAGTATACAATAACAGACCATTTTAATTTAGTACTAAACATGTCAAACATGAGCTGAATAACTCAGACAGTAAATTACTCGGTGGCAGTGATTTTATGAGATTCAGATAAGCCAACGTCAAAGGAGAAGACAAGGTTAATCACCTAAACATGAGACAAGACATCTATATTAGCTCCTGTACATGTTGTACAGTACAGAAATAAATCACAACCAAGGAAATGTGGAACTAAGGAAGAAGCAGATGTTTTACTGTAAATACAAAAATCAAATACAAACATCAAAATTAGAAACTTGACAAACAACTGAACATTTTATCTTAATGAAGGTAAAATTATTAAAGAATAATTGGATTAGACTGCATTAGTTTTAGCTAGGTGTACCTAATAAACTAAATGTATGCTGAAAAGAAAACTGCATTACTGGCGAGGATCAGCAGTCACAAGTTAGACCCTCACCAACAGTGACTACAAAACAGAATATGATCAGAACCTGGGGAAAAAGTTAAATATCTTTTGACCTTCACCCTGCTGCATTCACCACAGCAAAGTGTTTCTGTTACTCTGTAGATTTGCCTTCAGGCCAGTGAAAATCACAAAGGCTTTAAGGTTAATGTTTGGTCAGTTCCAAAACTTGTTTAACATTGTTGTTTTGGTCCCACACCAGGCTGACTTTCAAGATGTGCCATTTGTACTGGAACTGGCCAGGCACCATTCGTGTTCCAGCACCATGCAAGTACGCCCACAAACTGGCTTTCCTGTCTGGCCAGTACCTTCACTCAGAGCCGGCCATCCAGCTATCGGACAAACTGTTCTTCCTTTGAGCTGCACCAGTTACAGCCACAAACAAACTGCTCAGGTCACAGTAAAAGCAGCTGTGATGAAAGACACTACTGAAAAACCAGAATGACAAACAATTCATATAACTGAAAGAGGGATTCATTATTAACACGTGGCACTTAAGACTTTAAAGAATAGTGAAGATTTCCAGAGGAGATTCCCATATGGATCAAGTCGTTAACAATACTGATGTTTCTGAGAAGGCTGCTTTACATCTCACACCATGATTAAAAAAAGAAAAAAAATGAAGGTAATAGTGTGTTACGTCACTGAAATAGTTTAAATATGTGTGGCATATTAGTAAAAGCATGTTTTAATTTTAAAGTCTAGTGAAACAAAATGTGACGGTTAAGTTTGAAATGAGTACAAACCATAAGGTTCGTGAAGTTGGGACTTTGAGTTTTCAATGTTTTACAGCCACTGTTCTGTGGCACAATGATTGGTCGGTCAGTGGTCTGTTAATGTTCAGACACTCCCACTGTGACAGATTAATGTTTACAGTTCTGTACTTTATAAAACACCATTATACAGGTCTACAAGTTATATAGCTCTACGCACTGTATGCCCATAGTACTTAAATGTGCATGTTACAAATAAAGCTTGTATGACTGGTGGGGTTTAAGTAAAACATGAGTGTCTTTTTATTTTTTTGACTGGACAGCAACAGTGGGGCCAGCCCTGAAATCGCAAATGTCGCTGATTGACAGTCATCGTAATTCCACCATTGGTCAACCGTATGCCATGTGACTGAGTTGGAATTTCCCCATTGGCTGTTGCTCTTTCAAAATCCATTTTCACAAACAGTTTCTCTTTGAGGGGGCAATTACAGCCTGCAGCGTTGCCAACATAGTGCATTTGAAGCTAACCAAACAGGTTTAAGTTAGATTTGCTGAGACCAATTCTTAAAGGTGCACTTTAATTCTGAGTTGTGGTTCACCTTATCTGTGCATTGTCAACAAAATGTGTTTGTATTTTAGCCCTGCTGTGGACAGATCGCATGCTATTGCACTTGGATATCAGAAACTAGAGTTACCGCCTCATGGTTGTATGCCTTCACCATTCAGACTAGTATCAGATTACATCCTTGTTTATCCAGAGTCATATAACTGTTAACCATTGGTGTGAAAAATTGTCCTAATTGCTGGTAAATTCTTGAGTACTGGCTAACAGTTATTTTGTGAGGGCACACTGACCTTGACCTTTGATCTTTAACCACCAAAATCTAATCGGTTCATCTTTTGAGTCCCAGTTAACATTTGTGCCAAATTTGAAGAAGTTCCGTCAAGGGGTTATTGAGATGTCGTGTCCACGAGAATGGGATGCATGTATGTACAGACTGATGAACGGACAACCTGAAAACGATATGCCTCCAGCTCTGGCTGTTGCTGGTGCGGAGGAATAAAAAACGTATAGGCCGCTAGTAACGACAGCAAGATTTCCCTGCTGTGCTCTGCCGTACAAAAATGTTTTCTGTGAAAAATATCAGTGATGCCTCAACTATGATAGGCTGTGGCCAGCCAAGTGAAGATTTCAAACTCATGGTGAAGTTTCTCTCAACTGTTAAATTGTTATCATGAAGGTTTACACGAAGCCTCCCATCTCATAAGGTATGCAAGACCAATAATCTACACTATACCTGCTTTCCATTAAGTTTTGTAGTTTGTGTAAAACATGGTAGCATCATCTTAAAAAGCATGTGAACTTTTTGAACATCCTAGGATACCCTGACTAACATTACACCTGTTTGTAGCTGTTGAACTTCTCACTCCAATACCACTTCTGTGAAGACTTTCCACAAACTTTTGGAAATGTGCTGCAAGGATTTGTTCCCACTCAGCCTCAAGCGCAAGTGAGATCCAGCAATGATGTTGGCTGATGAGGCCTGACTTGCACTCGGTGTTGCAGTTAAAACAAAAGGTGTTGAGGTGAAACAGCCCAGGAACAACGACACACAAGTGTACACTTTGACCATATAATGTATAAGAAAGATAAATGACCCTCTTTTCCTTAATCTTTTGCAATGGATAGGGAAAGTCAACTCCTGGTAGCAACTCCTGTTTAAGGGAAAAAATGGTTGACTATAAAGATGTGACAGGTTGCAAAATATAATGGATGCTACAGGAGGCAAATTAACTGCAAAACTTATGACAATATTTCATATCACTCCATAAACTCCACAAGCACGTGACCACGGTGGCCCTGAGAGCTCAACGCACTGTAAATTGAGAAAAACATGCAAATAGACAAAACACAAATTCAGAGAACATCATCAATTTGACAACACATGTTTGCAAATATTGACAACACATGCAAATACACAAACGCCCTGCAAATTCAGAAAACATCAAATTGACAACACATGCGCTGCAAATAATCCCAACACAACGGAAGTGTTTCCAGCAAACACAAGTAGTGACAATACTGTGCACAGCATGTAAATGTCATCAGATGCAACAAACTGTATGCAACCTTTTTATCAAGTAACTCAACAGAAACTCAGGTTTGGTTAAAACAGCTGTTCCTCACAGAGAATATGAACAGCTGTTGCTGTGGTAAAAAGATGCTTCAAGAAAAAAAAAAAAACGTAGAAAGGTCTTGGCTGCGTGAATTGTATGGGTGTCTCCAAGTACACCTGCTGTTTTGGTTCACGTGTGAGCAGCAGAACAACGTGCCAGGGGATAAGGTGAGGTGGATTATAGATCAGGAGTGTGTGTGGTGATTAGTAGATAACACTAAGCCAGTCACAATCACTGATCTCGGAGCTCTGACACAAGTGTGGCAATCACAGTGAAGCACGACATCAATAGCTCAACAAATGGAAAAATGCTTGAACTAAACAACAAAGTGCAGTGGTGTTACTGAGCGGACCACTGGCTGAAAATGTTCACATTTAAAAGGGTTTTCAACATTTTAAGTCATCATATTAACATGAACAGCAAGAGGGAAAACCACTTGGAATGGAGTGTAATCCCTCTGTTATAAGGCCATTATAACAAGGCCTACAGCTTCTACTGCTGCCAGTACTGCTCCTTTCACAGTTTCTAGCGACATTACTAGAGCTGATACTCCTGTTACATGTGTATGGATACCAGTGTCATTACCACTGCTGCTAACACTAACATATTACAGCTACTACTTCTTCCACTACAACAAAGACTGCAACTTGTATTATTACATCTACCACAGAAGCATACATGTTAGATGGCTCTAAATAGGGTGGATGTCCACATAATTTCAGCTATATAGTGACCTGCTTAAACCATTAAACCATCTAAACTTGTGATGTGCTCTGGTGAACTTATTCTAATGTTTCATCCTAACATATGCTTCCTGTTGTTCAGAGTTAAACATAAATAGGTATGGGCCTATTTTGCTGTTCATACCTCATACTTATGAATTTGGGGAAAAAATTGCCAGGAGAAAAGCCACGATAATCTTCTTTATGATAATTACAACATCTAAACTACTGTCTCTCCTGTCATCTCCTCCACTCTTAGAGATTTTACACTTGTTTTCCTCTTAGAGATGCAGAGTGGGAGGAATTAGGCCAAACTTGTTTAGTTAAATCCCTGTCAGACTTGTTACCTGCAAATGATGTATTCAAATCTTTGCTTAAGAGTTTATGTATGTAAAAGCTTACATGAGTTTAAGATTATTTTCATTGTTCTTCACAACTCAACAACAGTAACAATCTTCCCATTTGACTCTCAGAAAGAAATCAGTTTTACCAGAATGGTGAACATCTCCTTTGAGTGAATGTACTACACAGACCAACATTTCAACAAAAAAGTCTTAGCTTAAAGACTGAATTAAAAGCTGAAATTATGAACATGAATTGCATTTTTCATGCTAATTAATACAAACTACTCTAAAATTCTTTACATAGTACGTGGAAGTAGCAGTACCAAAATAACATAATTAAGGAAACACAATGTTGACGTTGGTCAGTGTTAGAATTAGCCAATTTGACCAACATTAAGTGAAGCCATGGTCAAATAAAACCATACATTTGGAAAATTAATAAATTAATTTGCCAATTTCCACTGATGAGTACTTAAGTTGTTGGTTTATGCTAAATACATGAGTGTGTACAGTGTTTTATTTGCCTTAAACATGTTTAAAAAATACACATTGTCAGTTTGCAGTCAGGCAGTTCATCCTTTTGCATGGTTTATCAGTCTTTATCAAGTTTCAGTTTTTCACACCAAATACGTGAATCCCTGCTTTCTTTAGCTTCAGTTAAATATGCAGGCAAGGCATCAAATAAAAAGGTTTGTTAACACTTTTTAAGTTTTATAGATTACTTTTCTGTTGTTTTTGTTTGTTTGTTTGTTTGATTTACAATTTACTAAAATTATACTAAAATCAGATGATTATCTACAAGATTAATGAATTCAAACTAGTGTGGTCATATTAATTAATATAAATCAATTAATTCAATTACTTAATGTAAATATTAATGTTAGCTAGCAAGCTGAAAAGCCAAATGACCAAACCAAATGACCACACCACCCCCGTTAAGCGGTGCGGTGCGGCCATGGATGTGTGGCTGCGACGTATGGTGCGGCGTGTCGTAGTCGAGTTGGTTCCGGATGAAGATGATGACGTCACCCAATATGAAATCCATAGCAACCAAAGAATCCTAACGTCATTTCGTGAACATACTGCCGCTCGTCAGCATTTACAGTATTTATTTAAAAACAGACAAAAAACTATTTCTTATATTTTTAATCAAATATGAAAAAATAATTTTACATTTATTACATTTACATTTGTTATTTAACATTGTATTCTAAACAATTTATTTACATTTTTTCTGTTGTTTTTTTTTTTGTCGTGGTTGCCATGTCAGTGAATCCTGTTTAAATTTAGCCAGACTGAATTCGTGTTTGCATATACATTTTCACTGCCAACATTTGTGTGTCTGAGCAATATTTCATGATGGTAAGTAAACTCATTAGTTACTCACTTTATCACAATAATG